AAAAAAAAAAAAAAAAAAAAAAAACAACAACAACAGCAAGTGCTGAGCAACAAAATGCTTGAAAAGCTTCTGTCAGAACTAGAATATATTTGATATTTAATAGAGAACAATTCCAGTATACTTTGTTTTACGCTTTGTCCAGTGATGAATTCTTTTATAATGAAAAAATCAAGTAATATATAGTATATTCATAAACAAATATTCAAGAAAATCTGTCAACACTTATCTGGAAAAAAGTTATCAAAAGTACGGTTTTTTTGCAAAACGGTATAAACCATCAAATTCATCGTTAACTCATCGATTTCATCAATTTACGCAAAAAACTTCAATAATTTCCGAGATATTTAACAAAATTTTCACCCCTTCAACATCGACCATTGTTGATAAAAAAAAATACGGGTCGAATATATTTTTTTTTTTTTTTTTTTTTTTGAAAACTACACTCATGCCAAATTTCATTAAAATCGGCGATTCCGGGTTCGGTTATGTTCCCTAGTTAGTGTTCACGCAGTGTGGTAATAGTTGCTAAGTACAACTAATTATGATGTATTATAATAATCACAGTTACCAAGTGATTATAACTCTGTGATTATTATATTATGATATACAATATGACCGAGCTCGCTTTCAAACATCAACGGGAAACACAGCGAGATTTCGTTCAACGCGGTTTCCAGACGCTTGAAGTCGCGTAATCGAAAAATTCGCCGAATCTGGGTCGAACGACTCGCGACTTCCCCTCGAATCTCGTGTTACGTTCGCGGAGCTCGACAAAGTTTCGCGAGAGAAAAGAAAAGAAAAGAAAAGAAGCAAGGCAGAACGTGAAATTCCCAGAGAAATTGTCCGGGGAAATGCCACAGGGCCCCCGACCGCGGAAAACTATGCGGATTTTCGAAATTCCTGCCTGTTCACCAGGGGATCGCCGGTTTAACGAGCGAAACCATTAACATTTCCTTCGCAAAAGTAAATCTCGCGGTGAACGAGGCGCAGCCATCGGCAGCACTCTTATCGTGCGTCGATAACGATTTCGTCGAATTCGGATCGCAGCACGACGAAAGAGAGCTTCCTTATCGATTCCTTTCGTAATTTGAATAAAATGACAAACTTAAATAATGAAAAGTAAAAGACAGTTGATAAAGTAGTTTTCGTGTAAACGTCAGCGAATCAAATTTTCGTAATGTTGCAGTCGCTTATTTTGAATCGAGAACTTTTATTATATGAACGAAAGATAAGAATCCCCCATTTATACAATACAACACACAGTTTTGGGAACCATCTTTCTGCGGCCGAAATTAAAGAGATTTTCGTATCGACCCTTTTTTTGCAACAAAAATATAATGAATAAACAAGGAATAAAAATATAAAAAAATTTTGTAATCTCATTATGTATAAAATAAAAATAGCACAACTATGCCGATAACAACGAAAATCGTCGATAATTTAAATTGATATAATATAATAGTTAGTAAAAAAAAAAAAAAGGAAAGATCTCGTTTTGAAAGAGTGAAATTTCTACAACACGTTTATATATTCCCCTTTCTCTGCATTCTACGTGCAGATATCAATCGGCGAGGTATTATTCGCGTCAAAAGCACACACGCGTGCAATGGACCGCTCGGAGTGCCAGCACCACTGGCGTGAAGTTTTATTCCGGCAATAAATCGTTTTAAATTGTTTCGTAACGTTAATTGCAGAACGCCGTAAGGTGTGGAAAGTTTTATATAAATTTTGACTTTCGGTTCACTTTTTTTTAATTGAGAAGTTATGCCAGATTTGTCCCGACGTATTGTATTCATCGTGATCGAAATGGAGTTGGAAATGTGAAAATAATCATCGAGGGCAGGGGGAGGATAACTTATTGTCAGGAGACCAAGTCGTGCGACTTCGTGAAAGACACGCACGCACACGGGACCGACGTGAACGCGTGTACAGTTAGAAAACTGGTTTTTTCGCCTGACGCGTGTCGACGAATCGACGACGATCATCGAAGTGTTGCCGATCTCCGCCGTGTACCGGTTACGTACAGCATCTGCAGCATCGCGACGACGACCCTGGGACGCTGCTGCTTACGTGGCTCGGCGCCTCGGGCGATAGATTGCACCAGAGTCTTTTAAAAAAAAAAAAAAAAAAAGAGAGAAGAACAACAACGCAACGTTTACGCTCGCTTTACGGCAAAGCAGTAAGAAAAGAAAAAAAAGGAAAGGAAGAGGAATTCGATGATGTTTAGAAATAATCAATGGTCACGTGGTTGCGGATATTTATACGCACACATGGGCAAACGTGTTGGTGAATTATTTGTAATCGATCAGACGATGCACGTAGATGTTACGAGTTATTGGAGACGTGTATTTTTTTGTTGTTAGCACATTAATAATGGTCTCGAACATATAATTGGTGTTCGTACGGTGGGATTTGTATAATGACAAAGTTTGAAAATGAACATGTGCGTGTTACAAGTTTATTGGAAGCATAAACTTTTTACGGACGAGATTAGTGTACAACGTAAACGATGGCCTTGAAACATATAATTGATATTTATAAGGATTTATACCTATATTTCGTAATTATAGAAATGATAGACAATTGACAGTGATTGATTAGTGCTTAATTCTGTGTCTATCGAACAGCACGACCTTGAACCACGATTGAACGTGTTAC